GGGCTCCAGAGCATGGGCTCGAAAACCAAAGGGCCGGATCTTGGCTTTGCCACTTACTAACTTTGTAACCTTGGGGAAGATACTTAACCTCTTTAAGCTTCAGTTTGATTTTAAAATGAGAAGAATTGCATTTTCCATAGCTCAGAATTGCTGTATGGATTAAATGAGTTACTATGTACAAATGCCTAGAATAGCCTTTAGTTGAATATTGAACAGGCAGGAGGAGCCCTGGTGGTGCAGTGGCTTAAAGTGCTCAGCTGCTAACTGACAGGTTGATTTGAACCCACTGGCTACCCTGTGGAAGAAAGACATGGCAGTCTGCTTCCATAGACATCTACAGCTTGGAAACCCTATGAGCACTTCTACTCTGTCCTACCAGGTTGGTATGAGTCAGAATTGATGTAACTAACGGCTGTGGGTTTGAGTGAGCATGCAGTAAATATTTAGTCTCTTGTTATTCTCCTTCAAGCAAATGAGAATGGCATTTGAGTTAAAGCTAGAATATAGAGCCATAAAGATGCATTATATGTGTTGGAAAATGGCAAGAATTTTAGTTTATTGTCATTAGAGAATAGGATATAATGTGGGAGTTGGAGATGAGTCTGGAAAGGTCAGATGATTTCGTATATTAGGTGGTTTCAGAAATACTTAATGAACAAATGCTGCTAGCCATGTTTAGGCTCATTACGTCAGCTAGACTATTATAATTGTTGTTGTTGTTATTTGCCGTCGAGTCGGCCCCGACTCATAGCGACCCCTCCTTGGGTTTCCGAGGCAGTATCACTACGGAAGTAGGATTGCCCAACCTTCCTTCCGAGGAGTGGCTGGTGGGTTTGAACCGCCAGCCTTCTGGTTAGCAGTCAAGTGCCTTAGGCACTATGCTACCAGAGCTCCTGACTATTATAATAGACTCCTTAAATCTCTCTCTCTTTTGTTAACCCTCAAACAGGCACCAAAATAATTTTCCTAGATAGGTTATTTACTCTAGGTGAACTTAATAGTTTTAGAGCTATAATTTTTTTACCCTTTCTAAATCTCTATAGTGCTCTTTTTTTAAGTACTGTTTTTACTTGTTAAGACATTCCTACCAGATTATAAATTCTTGAGGGCAGGACTGTCTTATCTGTACATTAGGTGCTTATGGGAATACTATCCATGCTGTGCCATTTAGTGAATGAACCAGCCTGTTTAGTTGTATAGGTTGACAGAAAATGTATACTGTAATTGAAGTGTTCTGTGTAGTCGTAGCTCATTTTTTATTTAGATTAGACTTAATCTGAAAACATACAATCCCTGTCAAAGTATCATCAGGTCTCATAAGCAGTGCTTTATCATGTTCTAAAAATAGCTTCATTTTTCTTAAAATTTTATACAAGTTATTTGAGAATGGAAAGAAGGAAGTCAGTCTTACCTTAATTAGACCAAACTGAATTGGACGCTAATGTTTGGACCTTTCAAAAAAAAAAAAGTGACAATGGGAGAAAAATACTTTCCCTTTTGGACATTTATACTTCAGTAATTCTTGATGTTTTCCCTTTTTAGGAAGAAGAAGAAGAAGAAGAGAACAGGATGTCTGAAGAAGCTGAAAGACAGTATCAAGAACAACAGAAGCAGCGGCAGGCTGATTCTGTTCAGACAGATCAACCAGAAACAGTTGTTTCTACTTCATTTGTGAATATCAATTTTGAAATGGAGGGAGACTGTGAAGTAATTATGGAAAGCAAACAAAATCCAGTCTCTGCCCCACCATAGATATTAAATGACTATCAAACTTCATAATCTGAGGTGGTTTTTATACCATGAACTTTGATACTGTCTATTCAGTGGGACTTAATACAGTTATTTATATTTTAAATTATTAAGTTACCCAGAATGGGAAAATCTTTCTTCATTATTAGGCTGTGTCTAGCAAAAGCCAGATCTGAAACTTGGATATTTGTAATATGCTTTTATTGTGTCAAATTAGTGATTTTTTAAGAAAATTATCTTTAAAAAAATTAAGGACATTCAGAGCCCCATTTAACACTTAGGAAGAGTTTTAAAAAAAAAATTATCAAGCTTGTCTATTTATGTGTTTGTAAAAAAAAAAAATGGATAAATTGCTGATTAAGGTTCACTGGCACTGGTATTCCTAGTCTCAGATTAAAGTAAGGATTTTTCCCCTAGATTTTCTCATGTTACCTGGCATTTATAGCTAACCATTAATTTTGCAGTAAGGTTGGTTCATTGAGTGTATAATAAAAAGAGTAAGATGGAAGCACTTTGAATTTTGTTTCATTGAGAATAACCTTATTTTATGGAAGAGTATTTGAGTCTGTAACAGCCAGACCATGTAACCCCATGTGTGTCAGAGTCTGACTGTGCTCCACAGGGTTTTCAATGGCTGATGTTTTGGAAGTAGATCGCCACTCTTCTGAGTGCCTCTGGGTGGATTCAACCCTCTATCCTTTTGGTCAGCAGCCAAATGTCTTAACCCTTTGCACCACCTAGGGACTTCAGTATAATACCACCAAATATATATTTAAGATGGGTTTCCATTTATTAGTACAGGTTACTTAATCTTGCCATTCTTTTCAGTAGTTAAGTTATTCAGTTAACATGATGTTAAAAGTGCTATTTATGGAATGAATTTATTAATATATCTGTAGTCAAATGGTAACACATAATAATTAACTCTGGCATCTTGTGACTGAAGATTTAGCCTCTCGAGCTCACTGTTAAATACTGTACAAGGAACAGTGGTAGCTGTCATTCACCATTTTGAAATAGCAGTAGTGAGGTGTAGTTTATTTGAACCAGGTTGGCCATTTTTCTACCTACTGTATTGTGTAAACTTTACAAGGGTATATAAAATGAAGCTAATTTTGAAAATATTCATAAATATATGTTCAGAATCTTATATGGCTGTATGACTCTGATTTATAACCAAATGTAGCTAAGGAAGAACGAGTGGATTGTTCTAGAAATGTTTTTAAACGCCTGTTCACAACTTAAAACAGCTTCTAGAAATTAGTGGCTATGGTAATATCGTTTTATTCTAAATAGCATTAAACTTTTAAATATATTCATATAAAATATAGCTTCAAAGAAACTTACTACATAGATACAGGGGGCCTGTTAGGCAAATCTATCATCTATGATAGAACATGAACATTTGGCCACTAAATTCCTCAGCTGAATTTTGAAGGATTTAAATTCGTCACTAGGAGTCTTCAGTTATATGAATTCATGGTATGTGACTCATAGTATGTAATGGTAATCTTTACTCATGGGTATAATTCTAAGGATTAATCTTCAGGCCATGTAGATTATGTAGTACCACCATAAATTATAGTTTGCCAGTAGCTTTAAAACATGCTAATCTGACATCTTCCTTCCAATTTGTTTTTAACTTGAGATAGTACCTCCATTTCATATTTGAGTATCAAGTGAAGGCATGCATGGTTAAAGGTGATGTTCTAAATCTTCTCTTCCTAGAGGCACTAGTATCTAAAGGAGGTCACCTAGGAACTTTTCTGATTGTAGTAGGTACAAACTAACAGCTTATGAAGGTTTTATATTTTTTGAATTTTACTTTTATCTTCTTGCCCAATACTGGCCAATTTGTAATGTTTATACTTAACTGTGCCTTAAATTTTTGTACTTTTGTTTATGCAAACTATAAAATTTCCCATAAATGCATTAAATTGTTTGTCTTAATTTTAAGCCTCTTTTACTTTTTCCTAGTTCTGTTTCAAGCCTTTTAATAAGTACTACCCTCTGGATTGTAGTTCATGATATTCTGCCCTCTTCTAATCTCGCATCTCATAAAAACCAAACACAACAGTTAGTGTAACTGAAGATCCTTTTAGAGTAAATTATCATACATTCTCATGCTTCTTAATAAAACATAGTTATAAATGTAACTCTGGTACTGGTTAATAAAGCTAGACAATTTTGATAGCAATGAAAATAAATATAATTATTAGTTTGAATACTTTTTATTGGGATCAGCCTATTAAAAGGAAGATTTTATCCATGTACTTATAGTCCAAAAATGAAATAACTTTATGCTTATAAATGGGAAAGTCTATTATTGGTATATGTAATATTTTAGGAGACTGAAGGTTAAATGACATTATAATTTAAACTATTCCCCAGTATTCAAATTGAGTGAGTAATGTCAGAAACATTTCATAAAAAAAATTATAAGGACAGTCAGGAGCAGGTGGAAGATATAGAACAACTTGCCTCCTTTGCCATGAGACAAGAACAGGATGGTGCCCAATTAATCATTACCATTTTGATCAAAGATTCCACAGAAGAATCATCATCAAAAGGGGGAAAATGTAGAACAAAATTTTAAATTTTCACAGACTCCACACTTCTGCAGTCATGGAGGGTGGATGAACCCTTGAAACTGCTGCTCTGAGATAAATCTTTAAACCTGAAACAAATATCCCCTGAAATCACTCTAAAACCAAACTGAACAATAGCGTAATCAGTAAAAAGGTCTGCAATATGTTCTTTTAAGAACTGTGTGGGATTAAAGTGACAAAAGCAACTTGCAAGATTAGGATAGGAACCTTAGGGGGCAGTGAGTTTGTTAATGAGGGAGAAACAACTCAGAAAAAGAGGGTAACGGTTGCACAGATTGAATGTAATAATTGTCACTAGATTGTACATGCAGAAATTGTTGAACTGGTGTATGCTTTGCTGTGTATATTCTAAACAAAATAAAATTTAGAAAAAAAAAAAAAAGGCTTTATCTCTAAAGATTACATGGATTTAAAGCGGACACATTACATCTTTCAGCAAACCAGACTTGCCATATAGAATTAAATGGTACCAGATTTTACCATGTCAAAAGCAGTTATTTGGTCTCCTTGTTCCAAACTATTGCAGCTAAAACTCTAGTAACCACATTTACTGTGTTCTGTAGGCAGATGAAAGTTTTATTTAGAACATATCTCAGAATTCTGTTTGAAAGGTTTTACATGCAGCATTCACGCTTTCAGAGATCATGTATCATCAAGATCTGCAGAGTTTTCACTGTCATTTGCAACAAGGGCTTCTCTGTTCTCATATGTCCAGAAGCCATTCAGATCAATTAGAATGGTAGTGACTGTGTCTCCCTGATTACTGTTGATTAAATCCTGAAGAGAGATTTTCAAAGGATCCTTTGGTTTTACCATGTCAAAGATTTCATCCTGTAAGAAGGAAAATACGTGGTGAAATTGGCTATCTGATTCATGGTAAGAATTTCCATCACATGATCTAAAATTCACAGGTGACACAGCTTATGTAAAATTTCTTTGTTCTAGTTTTTCTTTTCCATCTAACAAGTAATCTCCTTTTCTCTACCTATAATCACAGAATTTTCTTGGAAGCTTCCTTAGCTTTTCCATATTTTATAAAGGAAGAAATGGACTCAGAATTTAACCCATGCTATATTACTAATTAGTGGCAGAACTACATACAGTCCTACTTGAATATATTACTTTCCTATTCCAATTGGGGATTTAATTTTTAAGTGAAAACTTCATTTAAAGTAAAAATTTAAATGCTTCAGAGTCAAGATACAAAGCTTCATTTCCAAAATTGATGTTAGCATACCATGGACCTAAGACGGCAAAGAGGAAAGAAGGTGGATATGAATATGAATATTTCCAAGGACTTAGTACTGTCTTCTAATCTTTTTATAGAAACTTAGTATTTTAGTAAAGAGGCAAATGGCATTAAGAAAAGATTAGACGTATAACTCAAAGAATGTAATCAAAATCACTCAATTGTACATGTAGAAACTGTTTAAGCGGTGTACGTTTTACTGTGCATATTCTCAAAAAACAAAAAACTAGGGAAGAGAAGGAAAAAGAATAACTCAGGTATGTGTAAACTTTTAATTTTGTATGTTTTTGAAAACTTGTCTAGTGTGGTTGCAGTTTAAAATTACTAGTTCTTAAACTGCCTGATGTAAAGTTTCAAATTTGTTTCATTTATATTAAACAAAAATAGCCCTTTATCTTATACTTGCTTAACACTGGAAAGGATATTTTATTATGTTAACCTGAACCTAAATGAATACTGGATACTCAATGTTCTACCTTGTGAAAGTCTAATTACCAAAATGCTAAGTAACTTAGCAGCATGTGTTTCAGATAATGGTGACTTCCATACCATAGGATTGATGCCTTCTTGAATCTCATACCAAAGTGATTAAATCCTTTGAATTAGCAGACCAAAAACATACATAGTTCCCAAGTTAAAAATTCAGTTTATAGTAGAGAAGGCTATACTGATTCTCTTAATTTCCAAAGAAAATGAATGAATGCTTCCCATGAGACCAAAGACTGATAATGCTCACAGCCTAAGTTCTACAAATCAGTCATTCCAAATGTGGTTTGTTTCTAATAATTTAAATATAAATTAGAACAAATATTAGCAAGTATCTGTTTCATAGCTAGTAAGTTGCTTTCATATAAAATTTCATTTAATATAAATGATTATCTGGTATTATATAAATTAAAGGAAAAAGTAACCTTGACATCTTGAAATGAAACAGGATCTTGTCCATGGATTTTCATTAGTTCCTGTATGGCCTGTATGTAATAGAAATAAAATTGTAAATAAAACATACAACAACCTTCCTTCTGCTTCAATTTAGCCTTTCCTAGGTTCACTTCTTTTCCAATCAGACCACAAGCCTCACTGTCTCAATCACACTTGTCAGTATTCTCCAGCTAGTGATCTTGCTCTACATCCAGTCAGCAAAACCTGAACATTTGATCAGTGTAACCATCCTTCTAGTCCTATACCATAGAGATAACAGATGAGAGTGGCCACATGACAACAGATCCAATCAGTGGCATGGACAATACTAGGGTGACAATTACCAGCAGCACAGACAAGAATTTTATTACCCCCACCGACACGGACACTATGGTTACAACTAACGGCCTCCTTATAGTTACTGCTGATAGAAATATTAGCAGCTTTTAGTAAAACCATTTTGTTAATGCAACAAATTTTGTGTGTGTATTGTTTGGTGATAGTTTACACTGATTTTAGGGAAGTAGGTGGTTAATTTTTTACAGTTTGAGACTTTTTTTAAAAAATAGATTTTACTAGACACATGTCATTGTAGCTATGAATTTGTTATTATTGTTGTTATGTGCTGTCGAGTCGGACCCGACTCATAGCGACCCCTCCTTGGGTTTCCGAGGCAGTATCACTACGGAAGTAGATTGCCCCATCTTCCTTCTGAGGAGTGGCTGG